TTAGACTATTTCCTGTATCCAAAGAGAGAAAGCTGCTCAACCCTTAAAGGGTTTAAATTGGAGATGTAGGGAAAAAACATACTTAAGTTGCATAAAACTTCCAGATGCACTTTGAAAAAAGAAACCTCAGCATTACCTGCACTGAACAGGATGATTGCACATACTCGGTAATTCATGCTACAGCCAAAGTTTGAGTTTCACTGCTAAATAGTCAACCCTTTTTCCTGATAAGCTGACTTCCTGTATAATAAGGAAACATCCAAAACAAGGTCTGATTTTCCCATCCCTGCTCAATTTGAGATGCTCTTACTCAGATAATACAATGCCTCTCTGGCTGCAAAAAAATCTATCCATGTTTTGCTGAGCCTAAGTATGATGTCAGTCAGGCTAGAAGATCAGCTTGACAGCAGAACCCCATGAAAGCATCTTCCTGTGATGTTTCACCCTACATTGTACAATTTATATTTTTAAGATTAGAGGCCTGGATCTCTAATCAGTTGTTTGTAACCTCACAGAGGGCCGTCCCAAGTGAATAGAGAAACGTATCATCAGTAGAAGCCAAACTGAACCATGACATGGAACTCATAGCTTCCTACCTAAAACAGTGACAACTGAAGCTGAATATACAGAAGACCACCTCCGCACTATTTCATCTGAACAATCATGCAACGAATGCCAAGATAAGAGTTGTTGTGGAGGGAAAAGTGTTACCGCTCAAGAAGAGACCAACCTACTTGGGTGTCACTCTAGACAGAAGCCTAACCTTCCACCACCAACTGAAGAAGTTGAGGCACAAGGTAACATCAATAGCAGCAGCCATTAAGAAACTAGCTGGTACAACATGGGGAGCCGACTTCTCTACCTTGAGAACAACTACACTAGTCATGGTTTATGCACCAGCAGAATACTGCCTTCCTGTATGGGCAAGTAGCACCCACACCCACAAACTGGACAGTACCCTGAACTCGACACTGTGAACAGTAAGTGGTATACACAGAATGGGCAATATGTTCATCTTGGCAGGAAGACCCCCTCATAACATCAAGAGGTCTAGAATACCGCTTAACCTGGCAATAGAAGCCCAACAGAAAGACCATCTACTGCATGACACGATTGAAAAATACCCAATGCAGAAACATCTAAGAAGCAGAAAACCCCTACCAGTACCCTCCAGAAACACCACAAAGGAAGCAGGAGCACCATGCTATCATCATGGCCCCAGAGAAGGTGGGAAGAGCAATGGAATAATAACCACACCCCAGTACACAACTACATACAACTACCATCATATCACACCCACCCTCCTGGTCATAAACTCCCATGTAAGGCATGGGTAAACCTGAATCAACTGCGATCAGCCTATGCAGGCTTCAACAAAATCAAACATAAAATGGGCCTTACAAACTCACCATTGTGCCCCTATGGCAAAGGAGATAAGACAGCCCAGCATATACTCACTGGCTGCCCTCTATATGGTCCACCAAACAGTTTGAAAATGTGCAGTAATATTGATGGATCTACTTTTAAATGGTTGGGGGAGTGGACTTTCTGAAGTGATATGCAAGAAGAAGAAGAGAAACACTGGGGGGGTATGTTTGGATAACAGCTTTTTTGATAATCTTCTCACCCTCCTGAGCTGGGTTATAAGCCCCACAAGCGACTGGCCCAGCTTTGCAACCAAGTAACTAGAGCCCAGCATATAGTCTTGTCATTACACTGCCATCATTCATCCAGGAAATACTACTACTGAAAATGATGCGACCAGGAATAAAGGACCTATTGCGGGAGCGGGCAATTATTTCAGGTGGAGGGCCACATAACAAGTTTTGGTGGGCCGCATAAGTAGCCCCACCTCTTTTGGGAGCCACATAGGTAGCCCCACCCCTTAACAGTTGCTCCACCCCGGGCTCGCCACATTGGGACCGGAAATCCTGCCCCCAGATATATTTAGGACCTTTGCCACCAGAAGTCCTTCCCCTTGCTGCCCCACCCCCCCCACCAAATACTCTGTTTAAGGGGGGAGGTTACCGTCCTAGAACCAGAAAAAAAGGAAATCATACACTAGAATCAAACACTTACTATATTTTAATGTTATGACAAAAATATTTGTCATGACTTGTGATTGTGTAGGGTATAAAGAAGAGACTGCATAATAACTCAAAACTAAAGTTTTACTCTTTTATACTGTGGGGGGGTGAGAGGGTGTGGCTGCATAGGGGGGCATAGGATATGTGTGTATGTGTATGTATATGTCGATGGGGGTTGTGGAGGCAGAGTGTGGGTGTGTGGAGTGTGAGGCAGGATGTGGGGATGCACTCCCCACAAGACAGTCACAGAATAAAAGGAAGGTAACATGCAACGTATTGTACATGGAAAATGAGATTCCAGCACTGGTGACGTCCCAACAATACAAACTTGTTACACGTTCGTGTATCTCTGAGTCTACAACCAAACAAACTTTTCTGTCAAAAGACTTGTTTTGCATGGATCAGATTTTAGATACGTGTATCTAAAGCACTCTGCCTGACAACAAGGCCAAGGAATACTGTAAGAAACACTGATTTGATGGTAAGAATGACTCTTGAATTGGGGCTTTTAATCTCTCTTTACCAGCTGCCTGGCAGCATGTTGCTTTCACTTGTGATTTATTTCCTTCACATGTTCAAATGAAAAAGAAAATACCAAACTGCAGTGGGCTACTTTTAACTATCATTCACAGAGAGATACTACAGTTTATCATGTCAAGTCTCGTTCTTCTCAGAGCAAGTTTATTTTTTTTTGACACTATAAAAAGAAGAAATCATGGGAAAAAACCATAAACTTCTTTGGTGCTGCTTAAATACCAGGAATATGGGCAAACTCCCCAACTCTTTATGTTACAGTGCAGAAGCTATAGCTGAACTTAATGCTGGAGGAAGTATGGTAATATTAAAGATAAAATTCCATTTTCACTTACACCTCTGCTACTATGGTACCACTCCACTAATGTTAATACAGTCATGCCATATTACACTGGTGAGAGAACAGCATTTAGCTCTAAGGGTGCAATCTATATAACACTGACACAATTCAGTTAACCCATCCTGGTCAGTACTATTGGGCTACAGGCTATAGTACACATTTATCAATAGTAACTTGTAGTTGGTGCAGTTCATTTTATTCCACTCTGGATGGGAGGGAGTAAGAAGAGCCCTCTGACAGACATAGTTAGTGTCTGGGACAAAAGTATTCCTGAAGGAAGGAACCGAAGGAGAAGTCTTAGGCTCATGTTCACGAAGGGAAATTTTGGACTTTACTGACTCCAACTGGAGCGTGTCCTTTTTTTCAGGGGTGTAGGTTGTAGCCGTGTTGCTCTAAGGACATAAGCAGACAAGGTTCTTTGGGTAAATCTAGTATCTTTGATTAGACCAACTCAAATAAAATATGAGACGAACTCAAACTCCAGAAAAAAAAGGAGGGTGTCCTTTTTCTTTGGAGTTGAGCAGAGTCCACCATGATAGCCGGCAGTTAGGAAATTTATAGCGGGAGGCAGCACTTCTGAATATCTCTGGTTTGGAACATCCCAGGAATGCAGTCTGACTCTCCATTTTATATTATGTTCCTACTTGCCACACTTGGGACCAGTAGAGGACAAAAGAAGCAGCAAGGAAATTAACTTCCTCTCATTGCAATTGTTTAAAATAAAAATCTTGACATTCCTATAATCTGAATGACCCTGCTATGCAGAAATAGTGGCAAGAAGTGATGTAAAAGTGTAGAATAGTGTTTCTGCTAAGTGAAAATGAAATATTTATGAGAAACTGCTTTCTAAGACTTCAGAACATACAGCACCATCAGATACTGAAATATTATGACAGGGATTTCCAACCTTTTTTAATAAGTGTACCCCCGGCGCCAGACACGGAGCTGGGGGGTGGCATGCAGCTGAACGAGGAGCAGCGGCACAGGGTGGTGGATGGCAGTGGTGGCCGCGTGCATGTTGTGTCCCTCCCCCCCCCACGCAGTAGTTTAAAAGTAGAAGTTCTTCACTGCACCAAGATGTTTGCAACTCGGTGTAAGAAACTAGCATTTGAGGACATTGCATATATTTTACACAAACAAAATAACTGTATACTATACATATATACAACTCCCCACATAACAACTAGACTGTTGACTATCAAAAAACATGTATGGTGTCATGGGATACTGCCCTGTTTTAGGAGCATCCAAGGGACAAAACTCTTCCCAATTTTCTCTCCAGCCCATCTTGCTGCAGCAAGTAGTTAGTTACTACTGATTTACCACTTCCTATGTGGAATTGTCCATGCTGGCACGTTAAGGACACTGTCAAAACCTCCCATTCTCCATCTTGGAGGGGGCACATGGCTATCACTTACCTCCCATATGCTTAACCTAAAAAACTGGTGGAACTCAACTAAGTTGAAGAAGCAGCCCCACTTACCCTTTATTCCCATCTGCCCTTCATAGTCCAGCCTTATGACACTGGACTGTAAATGCAAGTATGATTCTGCTGCGGAGTAAAAAACTCTGCAGCAGTGCACATGTAGATGCACGCAAGCTGAGCAATCTCAATGATTCAAACTTATGTTCACTAAGTTGTTTTACAAAGATAAGAACTACTAGATGGTTTGTAATTTTCTCAAAGTTCAGTAAATAAACCCAGCAAAATTTGCTTTATATCCGGATTCCTAGAAACCCCTGAAAAAGTTCTTACAGGTCTTGATTTTCTCATCTTCTTTCACCTCAAGCAACTTCTTATTCTGCCAAATTCAATAAGACTTCCTGGGAAACAGAGGCAGTACTCAAGGAAAGAGGCACAGTACCTTAGTTTTTAAAAAGAGCAATACCAGACAGCTCAAGACATGTGCTTTCTGCACTCCTGACTCACGACACAAGTTCTGATCCCTCCAGCAAAAAAGCATGTCACAAAGAGCAATGTTAAAACATAGATGAGGTTAACCTTGCCAAAGGTATACTGTTTTCTTGAATGAACTTACAGGAAGAGTGGATACTGGGAAAGCTCTTTCTGCCTTCCGACACCAGATCTGGATCACCTGTGCAGTGCATTTCAGTGTTCATTACTCCATCTGGAAAGCAGCGGTAAAAGAAATCGGGACGCGGTCTACAAAAAACACCATGAACATTTAAAACATAAGAGCTGTAGTTAGAAACAGACCTCAAAGCGATTGTTAAATGTATTGACTATCACAGAGGGTGTTCAACTCCTTCTGTTTTATTCTACCTACAGTAGCAATTGAAATGTCTCTCTTTGCAATACGCTGTTTTATTTCATGCTGAACTTTTACATAGAGCCTCTCTAGGCAGACTCCTCCAGCACAATGGCTTAGCAGGAGTTGGACAGGTCAGTCTCTTTAGGCTGGTGGGTTCAAAGCCTGAGGTTATGTAGGGGGTTGGGATAAAAGACTCAACCCCGCAAAGGATTTTGCAGGGCTACTCTTCATATATCTCACAGAGCGGCCAACCTGTACATTTCTTTCAGTGAGCTAGCAGTCTATCCAGGGCTGCTCCACAGGGTAGCATAGGGTTTTGTTGACCTTCCTACTGGTAGCCACCTTAAGCGTCACTATAACAGGGAGGCCAAGCCAGCTACTTAGGACTGGGATCAAGCAACAATCAAGTTCTAATCCAGAAACAATCAAGTCAGCTTGAATGTTGACTTCCTCTGCTACTGTGGTTTCTTTCCGATACAACGGTGACTCTGACCCAGCTCATGAGACTGTTGGGAGGACTGGTTACTGAAGTTTCTAAAAAAAAATACTTGTAAAATGAAAAGGGCTAAGCGTTCTGAATGCCAGAACTAAATATTTGGGGTGAAAAGTAATGAAGTCAAACTATAAGCAGAAATATTTTGCCTGCAGCACTCCTGTAGCACTAGAAAAGAGGTGGAACCAGACAAAATTCATTGGACAAAGTTTATTTGCTGAGGAATGCAGTTTTGGATGGATCAAACCTATTTGTGAATTCCTGCTTAACTCAGCAAGCAATAAATGTAAAAGTCTAAATGTTTCAATCAATCCAAAATGAGTTTTCTCTCAGGGTTTGGCTTGTTTGGTTCCCCCCCACCCCATTTTGCCCAGAAAGGCAAAAGTTCTGGCTGACCTAAAACACATTCTCCTCTTTCTTTTTGTTCAGATTCTCACAGCTCTAGAAACAACCCTTCAGGGCTCTGACTTCTAGCCTAGGTGTGCTCAATGAGCCCTGGTGCTGCTGGGAGATGTCATCTGTGGTATTATGTACTACATCAAATGCAGTTCCACTGTCACAGGGTGAAATGAATTGATTTCAATTCACTTTTGCTAGTGGGAGCTGGCAGCTAAATCCCTGCACACTGTGGCTCTTCCCTCATGTGCCATCAATGAAATGAATGGATTTCAATTTGCACCTTTTTTTGCCCTGTTCTTGTTTGTCTGGATCTTCCAACACACAAGCACGAACAGCAACAGCAAAGAATCCTGCAAGTCAGATGCATCGTAATGAGGTCGTGCACCGTCCCTACCAGGGCTGAGCAGAGCACAACAGAAGTCTCTGCTAATCCAGTGCGTTTGGAAACGGTGGTTATCTTTTTTCTTAAGACAGATGATATTTGTCAACTCTGTATTAATTTGTTTGACTGTTTAAGCCATCATTTATAATATGACAAGACTTACCTCCCCACTATTAATTTAATAGTATTTGTACAGACTCCATTCAGAGCTAGAGCCAAGGAAACAGCTAAAAAGAAAACAAACAAACAGAACAATAGTAATATAGCTGCCAAGTTATAAAACTGTAACATTAAAGCATTTGATTTATGGATTGAAACTTTTATCAGATTGAAATTGGATTCTTTAGCATAGCTGAAAGATTTTAATAACCCCAATGGTTTTCTTATTCTACTTGTTGAGGAGCTTATTTGAGACCAGCACAATGATCAGGGACCTTGAATGCTGGCTTGAAATGCTAGGTCATCTTTCAGACGTATGAGAAGTGACTGGAGAGTGGGTTTCTGAATACACCTGCTCTGTTCAAATTACTATACCAGGAGCAAAGCAGTGGAGAATCAGTTCAATAGCAAAGAACATGTAACATGTTTGCAACAGGAGCCATCTCCTATAACTATCTGCATGAAACCTAGTACACAACACCATCTAGCACCTGGATGCTCTGCTCCACTAGCATCTGAACAGAGCAGATTGAAATTTTTTCCTATCTTCTTTAGGAAAAAAAAAAAAAAATCAGCTGTGGGATGGACACAAGAATAATAACTAGGAATGGTCTAATAAAATGATGTTTGTTTATGGTAGGGAAATATCCTGCTATTTACTTGCAAAGTTCACTAGACTCCATGAAGAGCCTGACCTAAATCTCTTGGAAGCCTTTATGTTGACTTTAACAGGCTTTGGAACAGGGCGTAAGTTTCTCTCTGGTTAGATATAAACTGATTTAATGCTGCCAGCCACCTTACATGCTATAATGCAAGAACCGGTGCACTTTATTTCCTCCTGGAAAATCTATCAGCAGATCTCTTATTTTCAGCAGAGCAGTTACAGTGAAATAACTTTCAATTATGACACCCACACCAGGCTATTTTCTCATTGGACTGCTACCCCAATTGTTGCAGTCCAAAACCCCGCTAACACTTATCAGTTGGTATCCATAAAATCAATGTCCGAGGACACAGTCTATCATAAGAACCTCTGCCATGTCATAGGATTTGTCTATTTTATTCTTTTTTTAGGTAAAAAGCAACAACAACAAAAAGGGCATTCCCGGATATTTACAATGGCTGCTGGCAAAAAAAAAAAAAAAAAATCAATCCCAAGGACAGGGGTGTTATCCAATATAGACCTTCACCTTTTACTTTCAACCTCTCTCTCCCTCTCTCCTCCCCTCCACCACACACAACCCCAACACACATACACATATATATACATGCATACACTCCCCACCACCACACACAGCCCCAACACACATAAACACATATATATACTTCCTTGTACCCAGGCTTTCATTTATTTATGGCAACTTTAGGTAGTGGCTGTACAATCATTTTTCTGAAAGATCAAATGCTTTTGACTAGTAATGTCACAACACCATGTTTTCTTATTAAGAGAAAGGGAATATACAAGACACACCATTCCTAAGATATACTAAAAACCCTCTGATGTTTCTACCAAGCTCTAACATGACTATAAAACCACAGGGCTGATTGTCTACACAGCCTTTCACATTCTGCAGCCATCTCCATCTGCAATGCAAGTGCAAGCCAGGTTCAAAATGCTATCACAGATATAAGATTTGTGCTTCCTTTTTAATAGCTGTACTAGTGGCAAAGCAAGGGAAAACTACAGCCAGCCTCTGCAGTCTTTAGCTGAGAGTTGAGGTGGCACAAAAGAAATTGTACTAGCAGCATAACAGTTTCTTGGGTTTCCATAAAATGCACCAGATCCTCATATTGTGTGACAGCAGAGTTCCATCAAAGTCAATGAGAATGGTCTAAACCAAGTGGTTTTCAACCTGTGGTCCGCGGGAACCTGGGAGTCCACAGGCTATGTCTAAGGGGTCTGCAAAAGAGGACTATGATCAATCAAAAGTGTGTGAATACCCAAACTTACAATTCGAAGGGGTCTCCACCTAGCTGAAATGTTGAAAGGGGTTTGCACCTCCATGCCAAAGTTTTTTGGGGTCTGAAAATGAAAAAAGGTTGAAAACCACTAGTTTTAACCAGTGGTTTTCAACCTTTTTTGGCTCCTGGCGTCCCTTCAGAACTCCAGTGACTTGAGTGACACCCCAATTCAATAACTAATTTATTTATTGCAGCACTTACCTCCTGGCAGGGGGGAAAGGGAGAAACAAGCACTTAGCTCCCAAAAGAGGCAGGGCAGGGACAACCATGACCTTATCTTCTTGCACTGAAGCCTGCACAGAAGAGCCTAGGCTCAGCTTCTCACACATGGGGAAGAGGCGAGGAGCGAGCACTTAACTCCTCACACAGGGGGTGGCAGAGACAAGTGCAAGCTTACCCAGCAATGAGCCTGCACTCACCTCCTTGCGTAGAGGCCAGGCAGGGAAAAGTGAGCACTTATCTCCTTGCACCCCATGGCAACCTCAAAAGGACCTCATGGCATCCCAGGAGGCTGCGGCACCCCTGTTGAGAACCCCTCGTCTAAACCAACGTTCTGAACAAGTTCACATCTGAAGATGAGATCCCATTAAACCACTAAATCTGATTCATCTCTTTGAATATACTAAGCCACAAAAGGTCTTATGTTTATGCCAATATTGAATAAATGGGGCTCATGGCTACATCAAAACCACGGTTTCATATGTGCTTATGTGGAGGGGAGGAGGTTTTATTATCTGGATCCTGTGGATCTAATGGTAAGTACAGTCCAAACTATCAAAAGCAAATGCAGACCAGAAGATTCCTGGGCCAAAGAGGTAAGAACACGTGGTGGAAAAACAGATCCACGGTTCCTTTTATTTTGAAATAACAGCAATAAAATTAAAACCAAAACTATACCACTATGTATTTATACTTATAGCTACATGTCCCCTTTCTAGTGAATGTATTTACATCAATAAAATATCACTTATAATAAATTTAACAGTATACTACCAACTACTGGCAGCATCAAAATAACAGTCCCCAATATCTTTCTCCAGCCACTATAACATCAGCACAGAAAAAACAACCACAGACACCCTATGCTGCCTAAACACCGTTTCCATTCAGGCTTGCTCAGGCAAAAACCTTAGCAAACATATGGCTCCATGATCTGATAGTCAATACATTTAAGCAGCAAAGCCAAGAGAACTTAAGAGTCACGGATGCCTCACTAGAAATGCCCTGCCAATATCTGAAACTTTTGCCTGTAAGTAAAGTGCTTTGGCTGACACCAGACTTTGTTCATTTGCAAGTAACGGGGAAAAAGCCACTGGTTTTCAAGTAAAGAGCAATTCATTGGGACACTTTCTGCCAAAGATACTAGCCACTTAGCACGAGAAAGATCAAATCTACTTGATCAGATAAACAGTAGAAACAGAGAAGAGATCCTCATGTATTTAGAAAGATAACGTACAAGAGAGATTTTCTTAAGACGCGGTGAAATTCTGGCCCAATTGATGCCAACTCCAGTGGACTACTACAGAGCCAGGCTTTCACCCATGGACGCCTCGTGGCTCAGAATACAACTTGGTACAACTTTGGGCAAAAATGATTAAAAACGTTTCATTTTAAAAGCAGGAATACTTTACCTAAGAATGCCTCCTTAATTTCAGTCTTGTCTGTCCGCCGGATTATTTTTACCACAAAAATGACTGCCAGCGGTGTGAGAAACGAAATTGCCTGTAAGAGATAACAAACAATCTCGTGAGAGCGCCCACTCCTGCCAGTCCCACTGATTAATAATTAGTTCCACTTAGCTCCATTTAGATGAGATGGCTAAATGATCTTTATCGAACTCCTGACCTCAAGCAGAGTGGGATGATTTGTATTTGTACCTAGAGGGCAATGAATATATTAAAAATGGTAATATAATTGTGGGTTATAATTGATTTGTAATTGCTTAGGGCTATATTTAAACTGTCAGATTCATAAATGAAAAGGAGAAACAGTCTATAAAGCTCATGACTCATTACTCCCACTAGCTACACCTCTATATGCTTACAATGTTTTCTAGAAGCATTTAAGTGCCTTTCCTCCTCCGTGTCATATATCATTCACAGCAGCGTAACATTTAATACCATAAAGCATATTGGGGTATATGCCCTAATCCTGTAAACATAATTTTATTCATCAAGTCAGACTATATGTCTGATGTTTGTAGGGTCATATTGTGCAATTTATAATGGAAAGTAACTACTGTCCTCGTGTTAAGTAGCTTATCAGAATGCAAGCAGCCTCACTGAATGCAACAAATCAGTTAGGCTACTCCCAATGCAAGATACTACTGCCTGTGAGAAGAGCTGTCAGATTTATACCCACTCTTTATTTTGTTTTTCATTCAGGCCAATCACAGTTAAAATATCTGGTGAACAACTCGTGATGAGGATATTGTAATTTGGTCTGAAAAGCAATAACTATTTATTACCATGAAACAGGCTGAAGACAAAGCAAATGACCTCATTACTATTTTGCTGCTCCTATTTTTTCCTCTGAATGGACATCCGACTGAAAAATATTTCTAACTGGACTCACTGTGCTACCATGCCACCTGCCTCTAAAACTGTCCTTCTCTGGCTGCCATAAGCAGACCCAGAGTCCCATTGCTTATAACCTCTGTTGTGAAATGCATATTCTTTCATAGGTCCCATTATCCCCCACCTCAGGAGTACCAACAATGCTGAAATTCTTCACTACTTTTTATACACTTTACTGCACTGTACAAGGAGCATCTATCAGCAGGAGGGTTATCTTAAGGATCGACAACCTGAGGAACTGAGATGGGCAAGAGCCAAACGTCACATGGACTCAAATACTGGCCTCCTTCCACATGTTGAATAGTACTCTACCGCATAACCGGATTCACTAACTACCACTTGTAGAGCAACGTACTATGGGATCTAAGGGGCCGGGTTGGGGTGGGAGGAAGGGGACAGCAGAGAAAGGAGTCAGGCTCCAACTTGAATTTGAAGTACTTAGACTGTTTTGCAAAATTTCAAAATAAAAGTTAATTAATGTATTTGGAGACTGCAAGTTTATGATTATTAAGCACATTGCTTAACGTTGGTCAAACATGGAAATTAAAAAAAAACCCTCCACTTCTGGAATTACATCCACAGCACAGTGTGAACATAGTTTATGGCATCTATAACTGGCAAAGGAATCAGACCTGAAATCTGTCCTCAGATGAAGGTACATGACTCCTACGGCCTCTGATATCACTCATGAGTTTCCATTAAAGGAAGCATTTGGACTTTAGCAGATGAATCATGTTGCAACTTTAAAAAAAAATTACAGGTTTTCAACAAGTGTGTTATCATAAAGAACATTTCTAGATTCATGTGATGAACATCTTTCAGCAGGGACATTGCTCTGCCAGCTCTGTAACTGAAGGGAATCAATTATTTTATATAGCAGAGAAAAGTGAGAATAGATGTCTTCAACTTTTTAGAGACTCTACAAAATTAACCTGTACGTCATGATACTGATCTGCCTGCCATGTAAGCATGTGCAAGCTGCCTACTCTCAGCCACACCGTGCCACCTTTATTCAGATTGACTAGTATCTTACTACTTGTGTAGTCCAACTGACAATGAAGACACGATGAACTAAAACTCCCTTCTATAAAACGGAATGGTACTCAATAATTGGAGAACAGCCTTAAACGCCTTTAACTCCTCAGATTAAGTGAGCTGCATAACATTTCAGGGTATTTATTACTATTATAATATATCCTGCACCAGATTCCAGTCTCATTTCATGTTAGCCATTGACTTATACAGGTAAAAATGAAGCCAGGAGACAGCTTCCTGTTTTTATATTGGGTTTATCGTGCCACTGATTCTTGTGCAAAATACTCACTGTTTTAAGTTAGCATTTAGAAGCAGTTTTATTACCCCAGAAATGTAAATTCTCTCTTCACCTTTGTCTCTGAAAACAGACATGAAATGCTATTGCCAGAGACAGTGAAATAAAAATGGTAAAGGCAAAACCTAGAATTATTATTATTCTAAAAGTAAGGATTCCTGACACCCCCCACCCCCCCAAATCTGTCTTCCATTGTTGATGGTGGTTTAATGGCATTAGAAATCTTTTGAACAGGCAGAAGCAGCAGAAGATACCGACAAACGACAGCATTAAAGCAGGCTCTAGTTCCAAACTATTTCACAGTCAGTCTTCAGAAATCGGGTACCAGTGCAGATTTCCACATTTCACAAATTAAAGGATTTATGCTGGCAGTTCAGAATAGTTTACACTTATAACACAGTCTTGATCATTTCTCTTATGCAAAGGTATTAAATATTAATTATTAACTTGTAATGAGTACATATTAAGAATTAATTGATGTTAATTTACTTCTGTGCAACCAGGCCTGGCCTGTGAAAGATTTTTTTTTCTGCAATAGAAATTTCAGGGCTCACATCCACAACGTATTTGCCAAGAGTCTAGAGTAGTGATTTTCAACCAGTGTGCTGGGGTGCTACAAGATCCTTTTAAGGGTACCACAGGATGCAATCGCAATTTTAGCATTTTTAGATGTGCCAACACCTGCACATCATTCACAAGATAAACCCAGGTATTTCAAATAGGATTTCATAATGTCAAAACACTCTGACCTGCTATGATCTTTCTGACCTCTTTGCAACAAAAACAATGCTCTGTTATTTTTCCTTAGTCAAAAAACAAGTGAAAGCTAAGAGCTGGGATTTTCTTTACGGGCATCTTGAATTTAACCTTGAGTCATGGCTCAAGCCTGAAAAGGCTGAAAATCACTGGTCTAGAGAACAACAACCTCCTCATACAATTTTAGGTTACGGTTCCTTTTCTGATGCTGATATCTTCCAATATTGCTTTGATAGCAAACAGGAACAGGAATAGTCTCTTTCTGTCATTATTCATATGGGCAGTCTAAAGCTACACTGAAGTTGCCCAAATCCTAGAGAAAAGCACTTCATGTTCTTTCTAATTACTTCAATAAGTCCCCTTGCACATTCGATTTAATTTGTGTGTAGGAAAGTACTGATTTTCACTTATGTACTATTTTATTACTTAACAGCATTTGTAACAGTTTAGGGCAGGGGTGGTCAAAATATGGCCTGTGGGCCAGATCTGACCCTCCAGGCCATTCTATCCAGCCCACAGGACTCCTAAAAAAAAAAATTAAAAATATTTATCTGCCCCTGGCTGCCTGTCAGATGACAGGAGCCAGGGGCACTAGGACCCAGGGGGAAGCTGCTGGAAGTAACCAGCAGCTCCCCGCCCAGCCAGAAACCCCTGCCTTAGCAGAAGCTTCTGGCCTCTGAGCTGCTGCTCCTCGCTTCCCTCCACCAGAGAGGAAAATTCAAGTAAGAATGGAAGGAGGGAGGGAAGGATCACCAGTGTAGCAAGAGCCAACTGGCACCACGCAGTTCCCAACTGGCAACCACACGGTGTTCCTGCTGTGTCACGTGGTCCCAGCCCTGCAGCCAGAACCGCATGGTGCCAGAGCTACAGGTAGGGAGTGGCAGGCATGGGGTGGGGGCAGGGTGGGAAAGGGAAGTGGCAGCAGGGGGAGGTGTGGAGCCTGAGCTAAGGCCGGTGGCAGCAGGAGCAAGCTGGTAGCTGCAGAGATGGGCTGGCTCCTGCTGCGTTATGTGGTCACGGTGTTGCAAGCAGGAAAAGCATGCTGCTGGGACGTGCCTAGCTGTGCGGTGCCACACCGCTTGGTTCCCAACTGCAACGCTGGGACCACAGAATGCAGCAGGAGCCAGCCCGGCCCCAGGGCTCTCAGCTTGCTCCTCCTGCTGCCACCTCTAACGCGGTGTGCCTGCAGCTCCCGCAATCGCAGTGGGGGAAGCCCCATGGTGGAGCCCACTGCCTCCCCCACTCCATGCTGCACAAGTCGCTAGACTCTGCCCGTAGTGGAGGGACCCCTGTCCCCTGCTCTCCTGCAGAGTCCAGTGGGGGCTTCCCTGTGGGAGCGCGGCAGCTTCAGGCTTGACAGAGGCAGCCAGGCAGGCTCCACTCCTCATCCCCACATACAGCACAGCCCAGAGCCATGCCCCGCTGGGCATCCATGCCTGTGCCAGGCACAAGCTCCCTAAGCACCCCCCACGCCTGCTGCTGCTACCAGCAGCAGGGTCTGTTTGCCATGTGGGGGAGTGGGGGCAGTCCCCGCATCCCAGTAACCTCACATACACACACCCCACAGCCCCACACACAATATGAGTAAGACTATTTTTGAGTTATGATGCAATCCCTTCTATATACACAAACACAAATCATGACGAATATTTTTTGTAATAAAATTAAAATATGTTATAGTAGGTGTTTGATCTAAATTACCTGGACATCTGCTGGGAGGAGCAGTCAGCCAGGTCAGAACGCTCACGAAGGTTCTTTGCCAAGATACAGGACCTCCACTTAACCCAGGAGGTGCACAGTTCCACTAGGGGAAATGCCCTGCTGGACCTGTTCCTGACCACAGGCAACGACCCGGTGAGGGGACTCCAGGTTCTTGACCACCTGGGCGATAACGATCATCGCTTGCTGGAATTCACCATCCAGCACAGGGT